TGTTTTGTTGTTTTTTTTTGTTTTTTTTTGTTTTTTTTTTTTTTTTAAATAAACTATCCTATATGATGCTTTGAGTTAGGGTATACAAAAGAGCGTTAGTTTTTTTTATTGATATCTGTTTGTTTGTCTATAATTCCTTTCTATTTGAAATGAATAAAGAGAGAACACAACAAATGTAACACACATATGCTCAAACAAATGTACACCCGCGAACAGTCACGTTTAAATCCTTGGTCTGTGGTCCCTGCAAGAAAAGTGCATTGTATAGGACAGTTCTAATCTCACTGGTCTTAAGGCCCCCAAGGTGCCCCCATTATAGGGACACAGTATCTCTATCGCCGTCACCTGGCAAACTCTAAGGTCTGTCGTAGTATTTCGGGCTAGAGTAACCGGTTATCACCTTGAGTGTGATTTCCGACAAGGCTTGCAGGCTCCAAGGCCAAACTTGGGCCGGTCGTACGTCAACCGCTCCCTATGTTTAATACCCTCACGCCCCCGGGTGTAGGGGGAATTGTTATGTGCAAAGGTTTGTGTACAATTTTATTTCAAACAGGTGTGGAATTTAAATAAGCAAACAGATATCAAAGCCAAACAAAGAAACAAACAAGGTAAAGGGGAAAAATATTTAAATTATTATTTTTTATTTTATTAACTTCATCAATTAAATGGGCCTGACCCTCTTTAAACGTCCCCAGTGGAGTCGCCATCTGTCGCAACCCGAAAATTTTCGATCTCGCGACTAATGATTTAAACATCCTCATCAATTAAGGAATGCCCAGACACCGAATTCTCTGAAACTCTCTCTCATATCTCTCTCTCTCATATTGTTCCCCTGTAGAAGAACCTTCTTAGTGGCTTGAGATTTAACCACACAAAAGGTTGAATGAAAAAGAAAACATAGTTATCTTACGCAAACTGACTCACTTATAAGATTTTTGGTTATTGAAGGAACATACAAGAGATTTTTAAGAATAAAGGAAACATTAGAGTGAGAGGAAAAGAATTTGGTAACACCTGTAGATTGAATGAGGAGTCCTTGACCATTTCCTATAAGAATTTGATCGGGTCCTTCAAAGGGAACTTGCTGTTGAATGTTTTGAGACATTGGTAATGTGATGTAAGGCTCTTGAGTTAGGATACCAATTCCTAGTGCTAAGAGGATCTGTTGTAGTAACCATAGCCTAAGGTGGTTGAGAAGAATTAGCTAATAGTAAAGGACCACTAGGATTAGATGGCCTGATATACTACTTATGTGATACAGGAGGTCTCCGTGTTTGATAGTGATAGGTATTCCCTGGCCGAGGGAACCAATTTGGAACCATAGGTTGCACTAAAGGTTGCATTATAGGTTGCCGATAAGAAAAATCAAGAGGAACTTGAGGTACATAGCTTTCCTTAAATCTATGATAACAAACAGAAGCTTCGTGGCCATACTTATGGAAATATTGGCATTGAATGCCATAATATCTTTCATGGCCTCCATGAGCACCATGATCGTGGCCACCACGACAAATCTACTATTGCGAGGGGTTAAAGTGTGATTAAAACCAGAGTAATCTTCTTGATGTGGTGTAGATCCCTCAACCGACGTGTTGCGGAGTTTCATTCACAATTGTGGCGCTTTCACATTGGTGTGAGATTGAAAGAATGCATGAATTTTCTCCCTAAAGTTTTACGAAGATTTGCATTCGATAACATGCATGAGCATTTCTCACAACATCGACGATTGCAACCATGATAACAGAAGTTGATCTTGCTGGTTGAAGCAAGATACATTTCAAAGATGCTATCTTCATCATGATCCAGAGTGAGATATTTTGGAGAATTTAAGGATTGACAAGGTAATGATGCAATCGATGCTCCTTGTTCATAGGTTCTACTTGCTGACACCATAGGAGATAGTTTTTCGAATAAAGTTAGCGTAGCTATTGATGATCGAGGTGGAGGGGATGGAGGAGGAAAAAATGAGGCCATGGTTCAGAGATTGAACCTTGCTCTTGATACCATATTAGAGAAATTTTAGAGAATGAAAGAAAATTTTATTGATTGTAATCTGTACTGAAATACAAGGAGAGAACAACTATATATTGTTGTAGAAGAGTGTAAGACAAGATACACAAACCTAGCTTACATGATAAGCTAACTAACAAATATAAAACTAATCGAAAGTGATAGTGACAAGTGTCACTTTCAGATATAACAAAAACAGTTACAAGGAAAAACAAAATACATGAGTATAGAAAAAAAGAGTGAAAATCCGATGCTCTAATTTCATAGAATTCCACAGCCAAGCAATGATCAATGAATCTTCCTCATCCCATGCTTTAAAATTTGGGTCTCCCTCCTTTGGACCAACACCATTCAAGCGATTGATTTTTCGTTTTCCTTTCAATATTGTGTGAACTAGTTGTGGCCACTTTAAATGATTTTTTCCATTCAACCTTTAGGTAGGTTGAATGCATTGCAAATCACCAAATTGATTATTCTAGGGTGGATGTCCGAAAAGTTGGTGGTCGCCGAAAGAATAGCCAAAAAACTGACCACTTTTTGAAAAAATTATGGGAAAACGAAAGCTCGTTGGAACAATATCTAGAAAAATTGAAGGTTGTTGTATAAGTCCTTGAAAAAATTGAAGGTTGTTGGATAAGTGATTGGAAAGTTGATGAACGTTGGAGATGTTATTGGAAAGTCTAACAGTCACCGAAAAGTTTGACAGCTTCAACAGCCTAGTCAAGCTTTCTAAAGAACCTTTGTGTTGTAGAAGCAAAGCCCCTTAGATTAGGAGCTATGATATCATGTTTAAAGAACGAAGCAATGATCTTGTTTTCTGAATATGCTTGAGTGGATCACACACTCGGTAGATTGATCTATTTGTAATAATAAAGGTTACAAAAATAATAAACAGCAACAACCGTTTTCAAGAAAACAACTAAAAGTATCACAACTTCTTAAGCTATGAACTCAACTAAACACTATAATGAATATACTTGGAAGAATAACAATCATTAAATATTCCTATTTCTAACAAAAACCACATGCAACTTTCATATATGTTCTTAAATACGGTACTATATGGCTTTGTTAGTTGAGGAATATCATTATTATTTATGTCCACGAGGCTTGTTGACGTGAAAAGTTAATAGATTTTTCTTTTTCATTTTTGGATGAGAAATAATTTAACACTTTCCATTACTAGGTCTATATATATTCTTAACCTTTAATATTATGCTAACATCAATTATCATTGTAATATTGTAATCTGTCTCGAGCCACTATTGAAAACAATAACATGCAATCCATCTCGAAAAGATGTTTGTAATAGGTTGAGTGTAGTAGAGCCATTGATAACTCTTCTTATAAAAAGTTGGTAAGCTGTGGACTCCTTTTTATTGATCAATTTGTTTATACTTTCCAGTTTGATGATATTGGATCACATGGTACCAAAGTTGTAATATACAATTTGTGGTTGAACGATGAAGGGATATATGAATTGAGTTTTGATGATGATGCTGAGGTATGTTGTATTTCTTTACTGCTATATGATCTTGTGTGCTAATCTAGTCCTGAAAATTGGTGAAATTATTCTCCCTATAAATGTTGTATCTAAATAAGGAAAAAAAAGATATAAAAACTGGTCCTATTTACATTAAATTCTATTGTTGCTGTACAAATCAGAATTGGATGATTCTGACTGATGTGTGCTGGTTTCCAACATGATTTTTTTTGTTCATTTGGTTATTGTGAACTTTTTTCATACATCTTAATCACCTATGTCAATGCTTACAAATTGTGGTACCAATTCCCATATTTGGCCAATTTTTCTGGTTCTATCACAAGTCTCGCCATTAAGACAATCTTGTTATTGGCTTATCTGTTATGATGTGTATGTGTGATATAGCAAGCACAGCAGTCTGTATCTGTGCTAGACGGATAGGAGTGATGTTTTTGTAACTTCTCAATTACTTGACAATGTCATCATTCATCATTTTGATAGCAGTCATGATCTTATTTGGTCTTCTGCACAGGATATTATGTTGAGAGATGAGACCAATCATGGAGCTGATAAAAAATTGACAAAAAAAACTTTGGAACTTCAGTCACATATTTCTTACCGCATTCGTTATTCTTTACGGGTAATACTTGAGTTTTCAATTGTATTTATTGTTGCCATTTTCTAATTTTTACTGTGTATTCTGATTCACCCTTTAAATGTTTCAGGCATATGTTTCGATGTTGTATCTTAGAAAATTTTCTAACTTCAAAATCATACTAAGGGGGAAACTTGTGGAACAGTTTAACATTGCAGATGAGTTAATACATTCAAAAGTAATTCCATATAGGCCTCAGCTAGCCATGGCATCAAATGAGGTTAGATTCATGATACGGAGTACCAATTCAAAATTGTATAAAGCAATTTTTCATATGGCACTACCATTTAACTGGCTACCTATTTCACATAATATTCCTCATAGTATGGATATACATGAAGTCTGCTTGACATAAATCCTGTTTGTATGGATCTTCAAATATAGAGTTTGCAATCAATAACCACTAGAGTGGGTATTATTCATAAAAATTGCAATATCTTTTTCGATAAATTTTATTTTTTTATTTTATAATTTTTGCATTGATAAACCTCTTAATACTATAATATGAGAGATGGACCAAGAAAAGCAGTGCAATGTCTCGTGGGTTATGTGGGAAAGATTGGAATTTTGGAGAATATTCATACAGTAAGAGTGGAGCATAATGGATTTGATAATTTGACAGATAGAGAAGGCTGAAAGGATTGGGAGTGATGAAAGGATTGGGAGTAGACACTTGAAGATCTGCATTGCCCTTTTTTGCTGTTTTCCCTTCATTTCTCGAGTGTCTGTTTTGTTTCTTCTTCTACCGATTTTCTTCCATATCAGTATAATAAGAAGAGATAATGTTTTATAAATAACAATTTAGTCAACTAGTACCTTATCAGTTATCACTCATGGACATTTAACTAGGATTTTTTTTTTCTTATATTTTTGTAAACTAATGGATTTGGTATGTTTTAGGCTATGGTTGAGACAAAGACAACCATTGGATTTATAAAGGAGGCTGCTTCTATTAAGGTTTCTGGATTTAATGTGTACCACAAGAATCGCCTAATCAAGGTATGTTCTGAATGCATGAAATGCCTCATCTCAATTAATGTCTATTTCAATTTGCTTTTCAAGTATCTTCATTTTGTTTATTTTCTCATTCAGAAAATCACCTTTTTTAGACATACATGAGTAAAAGGTTTATTATGTGTAGTTTCGATATTTCATTTTATTTCCTACGATGGGTTTCTATATTTCCGTTATATCTCATAATTTGTTTCCTTTAATTAGGATTATGATCTAGTATTAGTTAATAATAGAAACAAGGTTGGTTTTTTTATGTATTGTATCATATTGTTGCACATCATGTGCAGTCAAGTCTACAAACTTGGTGTATTAGATCTCTTTTATATCCTCTCCAGAAACATCGAAGTTTTGGGAACTTTACATTGCTTTATTGGTAGCAGCACAACTACCTAAGAAATTGGTTTGTAAGTGTATTATTTGCTCTCATTTCTGATCCTGATGTGGTTAACTTCTTTGTGAGGATGCAGCCCTTTTGGAAAGTAGTTGCAGATGGTTCATCAAAAGGGAGTTGTGTTGTAGGTATATTTTTATCTTTCTCCACTGTTTGAGTTCTCTCTTCATGTGCTTACTACAAAATTCCCAGGTTTTTTAACTAATTGGTACATATTTAGGAGTTCTTGAAGCCAATTTTATAGAACCAGCACATGACAAGCAGGATTTTGAGAGATCAGTTCTGTTCATTCGGTTGGAAAACAAGCTGAAACAAATGACAATGGATTACTGGTTTGTTATTGTCTTGTATAAATTTTTTGCAGTTTTCTTTTATTTTGTTCCAGAATTATATTTTTTGGTTTCTTCAACGGTTGTACATACTTTAGTGTTGAACTTCTTTATATTGATATTTGACATTGTTTATTGCTTCCTTAATGTTTGTTGAGAGAAATGGTAAATGGAGAGAACATATTCCTTGTGTATTGCAAAGCAAAAGATGTGTTTATATACAAAATAGTGAGCCTAGGCCCATAAGATAAAACTATATCTAACACTCCCCCCCAAGCTGGGGTATATAGATCATATGTACCAAGCTTGTTACAAATATAATCAATCCTAGTACCCCGTAATGATTTGGTGAAGACATCTGCCAACTGATTAGTAGATTTAACAGAGTAGCAATGGCCTTAGATAAAATCTTCTCACGAATAAAGTGACAATCTATTTCAATGTGTTTGGTCCTCTCGTGAAATACTGGATTTGAGGCAATATGAAAGGCAACGTGGTTATCACATATGAGAGTCATCTATGTAACTTCGCCAAATCTTAGTTCTTTAAGCAACTGTTTGATCCAAATAAGCTCACACGTAACAGAGGCCATAGCACGATATTCTGCTTCTACACTAGATCTTGCCACTACATTCTGCTTCTTACCTTTCCAGGAAATCAAGTTATCACCGATAAAGACACAATAACCTGAGGTGGATCTCCTGTCAGGGGGAGAGCCTGCCCAATCTGCATCTAAGTACCCCACAACTTGGGTATGATTGTTGTAGCCATATAATAAACCTTTTCTTGGAGCACCTTTGATATACTTCAGAATGCGGATGACTGCATTCCAATGTCCTGCACATGGAGAATTGAGAAATTGACTCACCACACTAACTGCAAAAGAGATGTCAGGACGAGTTATTGTGAGATAATTCAATTTCCCAACCAATCTTCTATACCTCTTATCTTCTGTACCTCTCAGGATCTGAGAAAGGCTCCCCCTGACTTGGTAGAAGTTTAGCATTAGGATCCATAGGTGTATCAACGGGCTTGGAATTCATTAGCCCAGTTTCCTCTAAAATATCCAATGCATACTTTCTTTGAGATATTACAATTCCATTTGTAGATTGCGCTACCTCAATCCCCAAGAAATATCTAAGTTTACCAAGATCTTTTGTCTGAAAGTGATGGCAAAGATGTTGTTTTATCTGAGAAATGCCATGATGATCACCACCAGTAAGAACAATATCATCAACATACACTATCAAGTAGATGCACCCAGTAGTGGAATGTTGATAAAAGACCGAATGATCAGCTTCGCTTCGAGTCATACCAAACTGTTGGACTACGGTACTAAATCTATCAAACCATGCCCTTGGAGACTGTTTAAGACCATAAAGTGATTTTTGGAGATGACATACCAAACCGGAAGACTACCCCTGAGCAACAAACCTAAGAGGTTTCTCCATATAAATTTCCTCAAGCAAATCCCCATGAAGAAATGCATTTTTAACATCCAGTTGATAGAGAGGCCAACGACGAAGAGCAACCATGACTAAGAATAATCTGACAGAGGTCATCTTGGCAATGGGGGAGAAAGTGTCGCCATAGTCTAATCCAAAAATTTGAGTATAACCTTTGGCGACCAAACGAGCTTTGAGTCGATCAATGGTGCCATCAGGACCAACCTTGACTGTAAAGATCCATCAACATCCAATCACAGACTTCCCAGGAGGCAAAGAAACAAGATCCCAAGTACCATTGTTCTGAAGAGCACACAGTTCATCAATCATGGCTTGTCTCCAACCAGGGTGGGCCAAGGCATTACCTACAGTTTTAGAAATAGACACAGAGGAAAGAGAAGAGAGACAAGTATATTGGGATCGGGATAACCGGTGATAACTCAGAGTAATATAATGAGGGGAAAGATTACGAGTAGAACGATTACCTATCCAGAGGGCAATAGGGAGGTCAGACTCAAGTGGTTGGGCCGGAGGGGACGTGGTGGCACCGAAGTAGAGTCGGTTGGGGGTCCAATGGGAAGGCTGGAGCCTTGTTGACGATGATAAACTTGAAATGGAGGCGGAGGTGGTGGGTCGGGTGACACAACAGACACAGGAGGAGTATCAAAGACAAGAGGGATGGTTGAAGGGGCAAGGACAGTGTAGGAGAAGAGGAAGTAGATGGAAAGTAAAGAGAAGACTCAAGAAAGGTGACATTAGCTGAAATCAAGTAGCGAAGAAGGGAGGTGAGAAACATTTATACCCTTTGAGACCTAGGATACCCTAAAAAGACACATTTGTGAGACCGAGCGGAGAGTTTGTCAAGACTAGGACTGTGATTATGGACAAAACATGTAGATCCAAAGACGCGAGGAGGTAGAGGGTGGAGAGGTTGAGTGGGAAATAAAATAGAGTGAGATATTTGATTGTTGAGGACAGAAGATGACATTCGATTGATGAGATAGCATGCGGTGAGAACAACATCACCCCAAAAAGGTTGAGGAACGTGACCATGAAGTAAGAGGGTGCGAGAGGTCTCAATTAGGTGTCTATTTTTGCGCTCATCCACCCCATTTTGTTGAGGGATATAGTGAAGAATGCCATGGGAAGCCAAGAAGGCTTTAAAGGAGTGAGAGAGGTATTCACGAGCATTATCACTACGAAAAGTACGAATAGAAACACCAAATTGAGTATGAATTTCATTTTAAAAAGATTGAAATATGGAAAATAATTCGGAACGAGATTTCATTAAAAATAGCCAAGTACATCGAGAGTAATCATTAATAAAAGTTACAAAATACTTAAATCCTAAAGTGGACTTAACCCGACTCGGCCCCCAAATATCATAGTGAACTAAAGCAAAGGAGACAACGCTCAGTTGGGGACACTTGGAGAAAAGGAACTACGACTATGCTTACCTAATTGGACATGGATGAGGGAAGGGGCATCCGCCACCAAACCAACAGGAGTAGAGGTGCGTAGGTGATAAAGGCCATGAGACTCACATCCGGTGCCAATCATCTGTCCCGAACTCCAGTCCTGTAATAAACAAAATCTTTAGTAAAAGAGATAAGACAATCAAGAGAGCGAGTAAGACGACTTAGGGATAATAAATTAAACGGAGACTCTGGGACATAAAGAACATTGTCAATGGAGAGAGAAGAAAGATGGACAGTACCAACACCATGAGATGTGGTGCATCAGCCATTAGCCATAGTGATAGAGGGTAAATAAGTAGAAATAGAAAGAGAGGAGAAAAGAGACCGATTACTAGAAATACGATTGGTAGCACCAGAATCTAGGACCCAAGGGCCAAGAGAGGTGGAGTGAGTGAGACCAACAAACAAAGGGCCTGTGTGCGCAACAGAAGCAGTGGAATTGGAAGCTTGATGTTCCTCATACCATTTAAGAAAGTCATTGAAGAGAGCTAGAGGTCCAGAGCCAGAACTATCAGAGGGGATAGCATCAGATGCAGTAGAGACAGGGGAGGTAGTATGGGCAATAGCAGTAGCAGGGTGAGGGGGACGACCATGTAAGACGTAACAATGGTCAATTGTGTGGCCTAGTTTGTGACAGTGATCACACTTGGGACGACCTTTGCCCGGTTTGCGAGAACATTGACGATCATCACGTTGAGAAACCAAAGCAGAGGAGTCGCTAGTGGGAGTTAAAGAAGGTATGTCAGGGGAAAACTTGCAAGACACACGCAACAGAGTGGACCAAGCCGAGTTCAAGGTACGCACGGTCAGAGATCCCAAAATCTGATCACGAATGGAAGAGTACTCATCAAGAAGCCCATACAATGCCATCAACATAAAGAAAGTTTGGCGTTGCTTTAGTTCCTTGGCAGGAGTGGTAGCGGGAGGCAAAAGTTCATTGAAATCATGTAGAAGGTCATGAACTTTGCCCAAATACTCAGCCATGGAGCCCTCAAGGCGTTGTGGAGAAATGATATTCTAGAGATTTTGACACACCATAGAGATGTTGAGTATCATTGGTGTACAACAATCGTGCTTGTTCCAATACATCAACACATGTCTCATGGGCACGAAAAATTTGCTTTAGGGAGGGATGAATGGTCGACTTAAGGGCACTATAAATTTGAGCGTCAATTTTCGACCAACGAGGACGATCGTTCTTATCAATAGAAGCAGCTGTCTAGGTAAGGTGAGCAACATAATCCTGTCTCTTAAGCCAAAGCTTGATATCCGAAGTCCAAGTATCATAATTGGTTCCATCTAACTTGTCAATAGAAAGGGGGACATTGACATAGTGAAAATAGAGGAGTCAGGCCGAACAGCGGTAGGAGAAGCCATAGATGCTGGAACAGGAGAGAGAAATAACAACAGGAGAGAGAAAATGGCCTGAGAAGGATGAGATCTGTGACAAACGAGGTCTGATCACAAAACAAATAGTAGATCGGGGTAGAGGACGTCGGGGCGAGTCCGGTGCCAATGATCGTCGCCGGACGTGCCACCACGTGCGGCAATCGATGGAGAGGAGAGAGAAATCGCGCGCAACACGGAGTCAGCGCGTGTGGGTGCATGTGACCTCCATTCGCCGCGCGACCGGTGGCGTTGGGTTTGTCGGAGGAAGGCGAGCCGGGTGGGTGGGTCGCCGGTCGGAAAGCTGATGGCGGTGGCAACAGCGAAGAAAAACGCCGAAAAAAGAGGAAAAATGGTCGGAAAGAGACACGGCAAGGTGGGTAGCTGGAAAACGGAATGAGGCACGTTTTCTGGGCACCGATCAACAGTGGGTCCGCTGGAAAGTCAAGGATAGGCTCTACATACCATGTTGAGAGAAATGGTAAATGGAGAGAACATATTCCTTGTGTATTGCAAAGCAAAAGATGTGTTTATATACAAAGTAGTGGGCCTAGGCCCATAAGATAAAACTAAATCTAACAATGTTGTTTATTTCTTAATTCACTTGTGCCTTTCAATAAATTGTCTTGATGATTGTTCATGTGTTGGCTAACTAGCTAATAAGGTTTGTCTCCGTTTTTATTTGAAAAAAATGACTGGAGTGGAAGCTTTAGATTTTGGTTTTATATTAATGTTCCTTTGAGTCTTACTATTTAGTTCAAGTTGGAACTTCTTTAGAAATAAATAACAACAACTAGAAGCAGTATTCATTCCAATAGTGGCTAGTTACTTTAGCTTCACGACAGGGGCTCCATATATCAAAAGAATGTGGTGTATTAAGTTGGCCATAAAAGTAAATTATGTTTGGCATTGTAGATCCTTGCTTATACTTAATGGCCACAAGTTTCAAGCACAAACGCAAACAGAATTTACTAAAATGAGAATCAAAGTAAATATTACGAGGTTCCTGATGTTATTTTTGTGCAATTACCAGTGATTACTTAAATTTTTAGTTCAAATAAAAAGTTGATTAGAGCTTCTTGATACATCTTTATCTTTTCCAGAATATCAATATTGTGAGGTCAACAATGTTTGATTTTGCTAAAGTTTGTTCTGGACTAAACAGGAAAGGTTATTGTCACTTGATTGGATATCAGCCGCTAAATTTTAGATCACAAAATGCAGTAAAAGTAGCCCAAAAATCAGCTGGACATTCAACTAATCCACAAAATCGGTTGCTTGCTGATCAACAAGATACTGTCTTGGTAACTAAGCATCAAAACGGCCCAAGTTTAAATCAGCCAATTGTGGGTCAAGGATTGACTGGCATGCAAGGTTTGAGTCAAGAGCAGCTTGTAAGTAGTTGACGTAATTTGCAGAAAATTGTATTTGTCTGATGTATAGCCTGAAATCATACTTGCTACTATATGTGAAATGAAAGATACTCGTTATTTGTATTTGTTAGAACACACAATCAGAATGAGCGAGATCACTCGCATGAGCAGAGAGAGAGAGAGAGAACAAGATACGCGATATGGTATTGAATACAAATTTTTATTTTCTCACTTTTGTTTATCATATATACAACATCACTATTTACCGTACATAGTTACAAATAGTTAGTTAACAGCCCATAACATATAGCCACTACCTAACTGAATTATCTACAACAATTCCCCTTAATTCAAATTAGCAGGAGACTGCACCCTTATCATGTCTCTAATCAACATGGATCGGTTAGACTTAAGAGACTTTGTTAAAATATCAGCCACTTGCTGATTAGTATCACAATATTTCAACTTTAGGTTCCCTTTGGGGTTTGTTTGGTGGTTAGGATATGATAGGATTTAAGAGAAGAATAAGAGCGTGATAGGATAAGATTAAGTTAAGGTTTAGGGTTTAGGGTTTAATCTTATCCAACATTTGATAACATTATTGTGTGAGTTTGTCATGTATTTGATACGAACCAAATATTGATAGTTGGTGGTGGTGATGATGATGAAAGTGATTATGGTGATGGTGATGGGGTGGTGATGACAATGGTAGTGGTAGCAATGATAACAGTAATGATGATGGTGGGAGTGTTGTCGATGTCTATGGAAATAACAATAGTGGTGATAGTGGTTGTTACGAGTAAAGAGTTTATAAGTGAGGGACAACCTTCACCTTAAAAGTTAATTTTGTAGAATTGAGTTAAGCTTTAAATCATTTTCCTAAGATGGTATTAGAGTTAGCTAGATCTATTTTAAAAGGGATACCCACCCATTGGTACATGCATAAAGTCCAATGGTGCTGGATGTGAGGGAGTTTATCGGCAAAAATCCAAGTCTTACATATCCTAGATCATTAAAAAAGAGAAAAGGTTACCCACCATTTATCCACGTATCAAGTCCAATAGTGTTGGATGTAAGAGGGTGTATTGGGAAAAACCAAAGTCTCACATCGACTAGAGATTAGGCAAACAAAGAATTTTTAAGTGGAGGACAACTTTTATCTTGAAAGTCAGTTTTGTAGGGTTGAATTAGTCCCATAACCCACTTTCTAAGAAGATCACTATGGCTTCCTTTGATTAAGGCACCTCAATACCAAGAAAGTGACTAGATAAACCCTAAACCCTAAACCCTAAACCTCAATACCTCAAGAAAGGATTTTAGCCAACCAAGATCATTGGTCTGAAAGTGACTAGATAAGTGCTTTTTGAGCTGGGAAGTTTTAGTAGCATCATTCCTTGTAATTACGATGCCATCAACATAGTCAACTAAATAAACACGTTTCCTTGGAGAAGGATGGCAATAGAAAATTGGATGGTCTACTTACCTTTGTTTCAACCCAAAGTCATGCATCACATGACTAAATTTCCCAAATTAAGCTTGAGTAACATTGTTTGGAAACATAGAGAGATCTTGCAATTTGCAATCAAAACTAGACTCTCTCTTAGCAACAATTTCAAGAGGTTGCCCCATGTAGATCTCCTCTAATTATCCATGAAGAAAGACATTTTTTAATGTACAATTAATGGAGAGGCCAATTTTGGGAAAAGTAAATGAAGATATAAAGGACACAAAAGAGAAATATGAAGGAGATAAATGATGATGACTTAGAAAATTATAAACAAGGTGGGGATTCTGACTAAACCTAATACCTTTCCTAAGAACAATGGGTCAGCTAGAGTTGTGATCATGAGTATCCGTAATAGGAGTGTCTGATGGTGAAGGAAACATATTAGGTGACTCTTCAGATAATTATGGACCAGTTCTTTGGGTTTGGTGCTGAATGTAATGAGAGGAGGTAGTAACTTATGTTGGACCATTGGTGGGATAATGATCTAATCATGATATTTGATTATACTTGAAAAAGAGAATGATTTTATTATTATCATTCATACATATTACATTTTCCTTACACCTATTTGTCACAATCTAATCTTCCAAAATAAGGAAATAAGGAAAAAATATGCTGAAAAATAAAATAGAAGATTCTACAAATATTTTCTCTAATTAGGAAGATTTTCCTCTAATTACAACACTCCCCTTCAAGTTGGTAAATGAATATCAATCATTCCCAACATGCCTACAAGATCTTGAAATCTACCCTGAGGGAGCCCTTTTGTAAAAAATATCTGCTATCTGAAGTTCTATAGGAACATGAGTTGTAATCGCAAAGCCTCTTTCTAGATTATCTTTGATAAAGTGTCTGTAATCTCAATGTGTTTGATCCTGTCATGTTGTACTAGATTATGGGCAATGCTCATGGTAGACTTATTGTCATAGTATAGTTGCACGGGGTTGTCTACCTTGACTTTAAGATCATCCAAAATGATTTTCATCCAGAGTCCTTCACACATTCCTTGAGCAAGGGCTCGGAATTCAGCTTCTGCACTAGAACGAGATACTCTATCTTGCTTTTTGCTCCTCCACATTACCAGACTATCTCCAAGAAACATACAATACCCAAAAGTAGATTTTCTGTCAGTAATCGAACTTGCATAGTCAACATCAGTATATATTTTCTTAGTCAACGTGTCTTCCCATTTGTCAACTGCTTGCATGTGTCTCTCTCTTGGGTCATGCATAAATTGACTCACTACACTAACTGCATAAGCAATGTCTGGTCTTGTGTGTGATAGATAAATCAATTTTCCTACCAATCTCTGATATTGGGCCTTCTCTACCGGAGCACTTTCTTTACTTCCAATTCTATGATTCTGTTCTATAGGAATTGTTGAGGTTCTACATACTAGCTTTCTTGTTTCTTTGAGAAGATCAAGTACATATTTCCTTTGGGAGATGAAAATTCCGTTCTTGGAGTAAGCAACCTCTATTCCAAGAAAATACTTGAGTTTTCCTAGGTCTTTCATTTCAAATTGGACTGCCAATTTTCCTTTTAATGCCAATTTTTTTGTTTCATCATCTCCTGCAATAATCATATCATCCACATAGACAAGCAGTAGAGTGAGTTTACCTGTAGAAGAGTGCTTTTTGAATAGAGTATGATCTCCTTGTATCCCAAAGAAACCATTGCTTTTGTAAATCTTCCAAACCATGCTCTAGGGGATTGCTTAAGACCATGCAATGCTTTCTTTAGGAGGCATACCTTGTTTCTTTCATTTTGCCCTTCAAAACCTGGGAGAATCTCCATTTACACTTCCTCATCTAGATCTCCATGAAGAAAGGCATTTTTCACATCTAATTGGTGTAAGTCCCAACCAGAATGAGCAGCCAAAACGAGAACAACTCAAACTGTATTCATCTTTGCTACTGGGGCAAATGTCTCCTCATAGTCAATCCCATATGTTTGAGTATAGCCCTTTGCCACCAATCTAGTTTTATATCTTTCTACTGTCTCATATGCCTTATGTTTCACCGTGAATATCCATCTATACCCTACTGACTTCTTGTCTCTTGGCTTATCAACAATCTCCCAAGTTGAATTTCTTTTTAATGCATTCATCTCTTCTTTCATGGCTTGAGTCCAATGTTCAATTTTTATGGCCTCCTAGATTGAGGTAGGAATTTATGTGGCATCAATGATAGCAATAAAGCTTCTGTGCTTATCAGAGAGATTGTTAGTGCAAACATATCGAGAAATAAGATATTTAGCACATGACCTTCTTTCCTTTCTTAATATAATGGGTAAATCCTTAGTAATACTTACCTTCTCACTGTTATCTTCAAGGATCCTCACCTCCAGATTAGACAATTTTTCTTGCTCTAGAGTCGAAGTGGGTTGTTTTTTTCTTTCATATTTTTTGCCAAAAAAATTATCTTCCTCCTCTTCTTCCTCACTATGGACCATGGTAGTTTCATTGCTCAGATCTTGGGCATCCTGCAAAGACAAATATGGTAATGACATGGAGAGCTCCTCCACTTCAAGTGCTTTCTCCCCCTGAAGTGGTGAGTGGCATAACAAGATTGTGTTTCATGAAAGGTGACATCTATGGTGATAAAGACACGACGACTCTGAGAATGATAACATTTGTACCCTTTTTTATTAGAAGGATACCCAATAAAGACACATTTAAGAGTTTTGGGATCTAATTTACTACGATTAGGATGATGAGAGTGAACAAAAACAATACATCCAAAGACTCGACTAGGTAGACTCGCTACTAGGGGGGAAGAGGGAACAAAAGACAAAAGAGACTCTATAGGACTAATGTCATTTAAGATACGGGTGGGTAATTTGTTGATGAGATACGTGGCAGTTAACACAAATTCTCTCCAGTAATTTTTTGGAACAGACATTTGAAAAAGAAGAGTCCTCTTGAAGTAATGATTCTTTCTTTTTGCAACCACGTTTTGTTGAGGGGTGTTTACACATGTTAGTTCATGAACAATACCATTATGAGACAAAAAATTGAAAAATTCATGATTCACATATTCAGTACTATTAGTAGACCTGATTCTTTTAATATTTTTTCCAAATTGATTTTGGACAAGACGGAAAAAATTAACAAAGATTTGGAAAACTTTTGATTTATTTTTCATAATGTATGTCCGGGTGACACGGGTACAATTGTCAATAAGGTAACTAACCATTTGGTTTTAGAAATAGATTCTAAGACCGGTCCCCCAACGTCAGAGTGAATTAAATCAAATGGAGAAGTACTCTTTTTATTATTAATAGGATAAGATGCAGGATGGTGTTTTGACAATTGACAAATATCACAATTAAAAGACTCAACAGACTCCCTAGTAAACAAATGAGGAAATAAGGATTTGATAAGGTTGAATGAAGGATGCCCAAGTCTTTTATGATGTAGTCATATTTGGGAATTTGCCCACGTCTCAGATGTAGCTTGTTGACGTAAGATTTTTGTTTTGCTTTGGTCATCAGACTCCAACAGATACAACCCACTTTGCTCCTTAGCAGTTAAAATCGTCTTCCTCATGGTAAGGTCTTGAAAAACACAATAAGTTGAGAAAAATGTTACTGAACAATTTAAATCCTTTGAGTTTTTGCACAGAGATAAGACTATTAGCTAATTGTGGAACATGTAAAACATCCTTTAATACAATAGATGATTCCAAAATTATATTCCCAGAGCTGCATATAGGTACACCCTGACCATTCGCAATTGTAATAAGTTGTTCTCTGTTCCTTTTAACATATGAGTTGAAGATCACACGAAAAGGTGTCATATGATTAGTTGCTCCCGAATTAAGAATCTAAATACCTTGAGACACAGGACCAACAATATTGAGAGAAATCTTACCTTTCATGGACAAAGTACATGATCCAGAGGGTTTACTCATTGATTCAACCATTGCTTTCAAGCGCTCGAGTTCCTCCTTATAAGCTTTCATATCAAGATCTGGTGGTGGTGAAGTATTGGATTAATTGGTGGCTTCCTGTTTTGAGGTAGTATGATTTGCCCGTTTTTAAGCAGACCCTTTGTTGTTTCCCATGCGCTCGAGAACATTATTTCTTCCATGGAGTTTGAAGCATGTATCCTTGGTATGTCCAGATCTTCTATAGTATGAACAATAGTCTCCACGGTTACCTTTTTCAAATGACTTTCCTCTGGCATTTGCTCCCTTGTGGACCCTTTTTCCAGTTGTCATGGCAGAGCCTGTGTTGGAGATCCCACCATCAAGCATGATAGCTCTTCGAGTTTCTTCTCCTCTTACCATAAAGAATACTTTTGATAGAGATTGTAATTTTTCTCTTCCTACGATTTGTACCCTAATTGGGTCATACTAATGCTTCAGGCCATGGAGAAATTTAAAAATTCTTCCTCTTTTCATGGCTTCAGCATGTGCGACAGCATCTGTTTTACACATCTTTATTGTTTGGTACTGATCTAATTCAATCCAAAGTCCATTTAGTATTCCGTGATATTCTGATACGGAAAGAGAGTACTGTTTTGTATTAAATATCCTGCTTTCAATGTCATAACATGTAACAAAATCATTTTTTAATGAAAAAGTATTATGTAAATCATCCCATATCTCTTTGGCAGAAGAATAAAACATATAATTTTGACTTATCTCAGGAATCATGGAATGCCACATCCAAGTCATAATTAGTGAAACTTCATTGTCCCAAATTGGAAAATTAGAGTCGTCTGGTCCTGGCCCTCCACCATCTATGTGGTCTAATCTTGAACGTCTCGTAAGAATCCTTTGAATGTACTGGCTCCATTGTAAGAAATTCCAACCATCCAATCGATAGGGACCCACCACAATTGGAAGATCATTAGGACCCAATGGAACGCAATCAGGTGTCTTCGATGACCCTGTCCGCAATGATGACGATGTGTGGGCTACACCGGAAAAAAAGAGCGGAACTCAAAACTCAGATCTACTCGAATCTGGGCCAAATGGGACGTCATCGACCCATGAAACGAACTCAGGAAGTTCTGGCGACTCGTTCTGTGACGGTGGCGGCGAGTGGGTCTTGCCGGAGCTAGGTGTATGGGCTACACGCGTTGGCAACGGTGGTGGTGCGTGGCAGCGTCTTTCCCAGAGCGATTTCTGGAGTTGTGTTCACCGAAGTTGGGCGCACCTTTCTGCCTTTCAACGACCCCAAAAGTTACGGTGG